ATTCAATTAAAGTAAAATATAAAATGTAAAATTAAAATAAAATATAGTATTTATACTCAAAATCTATAAAAAGATATGAATTTGATATTAAAATTTATGTAAAATTAATTACAAATTCTGTAATTAATAAAGCTTAACTTAGACAAACCCTATAACATATGTATCATAAAAGAAATAATTATCTCAGGTGGTATCATCTTATAAAATTAAAAAAATCACATTACAAAAAGAATTCAACAATAATTTTTTAACTTAAAAAAAATTTATGAATTAAGAATTTGAAATTTTTATATGGGAGGTTTTACGTTTGAAGATTCAAGCAAATAGTGTAGGAATGTATATATATATATATATATATATAATCTCTCGTTGTATAAACAATTGTACTCAAAAAAGTATTTGTAAAATTCTATTCTACATTTGAAACACATAAACCTATGTGTGACTCAATTTTTATCTAGACAGTCTCCTAATTGTATTGACACGATGGACAAGTCTAGTAATTGTGAATTTGGCTAATAATCAATTATTTGGAAAATTTTCAAGCTCTATTGGATCTTTGTACCAACTTGAAATGCTTGATGTTAGAAAGAGAAGAAAGAGAAATATTTGAAGAAAGGTTTATCGCTTTCTTAAATAATATTATACGTACAATAATCTATATATAGGTGTTTACAAATAGAATATTCTAAAGACTAAAATATTTACAATAAGTGCATTCACATCTTAACATCCCCCCTCAAACTCAAGGTGGTTGTGATTGAACCAACTTGAGTTTGGAAAGAAGAGTTTGGAAGCGTCCAGGGAAGGGAGCCTTGGTAAGCAAATCAGCAAGTTGATTAGTAGAACTAATGAAAATCAAACAAACAGTCCCTTTTGCAACATGATGATGAATAAAGTGATAATCAACCTCAATATGCTTTCTACATTCATGAAAGACATCATTGTGAGCAATTTGTATAACACTTTGATTATCACAATATAAATCAATAGAAGAAGGCTGAGGAATGCCCATATCTTCAAGAAGCCATCGTAATGAAAGAAGTTCTGATGTGGTATCGCCAAGAGCTCTATACTCAGCTTCAGTATTAGAATGGGATGGAATAGTTTGTTTCTTACTCTGCCAAGAGATAAGAGAATTGCCAAGGAAAAGACAGTAACCAATGGTAAATCTACGATCAGAAGGATCATCAGCCCAATCAGCATCAAAATAAGCATGAAGCACAAGGGAGGAGGTAGTAGAAAAATGGAGTCCATGAAACAATGTTTCCTTAACATAGCGAATAATGCGAAGTACTATTGCATAATGAGTGGAATGAGGAGTAGCCATAAATTGACTAATAATGTGAACTGCATATGCTATGTCAGGGCGTGTCATGGTAAGATAAACCGGACTACCAACCAATTGCTGATAGCTAGTAGGATTGGAAAGTGGAGAGCCATCCATAGGAGTAAGCTTGACATTAGGTTCAAGAGGTGTAGAAACACTCTTGCTGTCATTAAGTTCAACTTTAGAGACAAGATTGAAGGCATACTTTGCTTGAGAAAGCAGGTAGCCATCATCTGAAGAGGTGACTTCAAGTCCCAAAAAATAACTCAGAACACCAAGATCTTTCATCTTAAATTTCTTACTGAGAGATTGTTTTAACTGCTCAACACCTGCATTATCATCTCCAATAATAATCATGTCGTCAACATAAAGAAGTAAAAGAACCATACCCCGAGTAGTCTTATGAATGAACAGAGCTGCATCATGTGAACTTGAACTAAAACCAAACTCACTCATAGTGGCACTAAACTTTGCATACCAGGCTCGAGGAGATTGTTTCAACCCGTATAATGCGCGTCACAATCAGCATACCTTGTGTTGGAGGATGGTTGAGTCCAAGAGGTGGTTTCATATAAACTTCTTCTTCTAGATCACCATTAAGAAAGGCATTTTTCACATCCATCTGAAACAATTTCAATCCTCGTATAACAGCAATAGCAAGCAAACTGCGCGCAGATGTGAGACGAGCAACGAGAGCAAATGTTTCCTCATAGTTTATTCCATACTCCTGTGTAAAACCCTTGGCAACCAAGCGTGCCTTATAATGCTCCACAAAACCATCAGATTGTGTTTTGATCTTATACACCCATTTACAGCCTATTAGAGACTTTTCAGCAAGAAGATCAACTAAATCCCATGTACAAGTGTTCTCAAGAACCTGTAATTCATCTTGCATAGCTTGTTGCCAAAGAGGGTTAGCAAAAGCCTCTCGATATGATTGAGGCTCATGTAAACAAGTAATAGCAGGGAAACAATGACAATCACAAAGATGGGACAACAAGCTCATTTGTAGACTCAATAATATCAGATGCAACATCAACATGTGATACAGATGAGGGAGTAGAGGAAGGCTCAGAATTATCTAATGCATTACCAATAGGTAGATCATCTTTTGTAAAACTAGTTAGAGCATGTGGTGAGGCATTGCAGAGCTCATCAGATGTACCTGCATTAGAATCACTAGGGAATGGCTCAATACAAGGATCGGTAAAAAATGGAGGTTTATCAAAAGATGACACCTGCAAGTTTGATAACAAGGAAAACATAGTGTGTTCCCAAAAAACAACATGACGTGAGACTCAAAGTTTTTGTGACACAGGATCCCAACAACGATATCCTTTATGTGTAATCCCATTGTCATAACCCAAATTTAATTGGGGTTAAATGATAAAAGTAAAAGCTCACAGACCATTTTTGTAAAAGTGTGAAACTTGAAGGGTTGAGAGGAGAGACTAGCAAAACGACGTCGTTTTGCTTGTAGTTGAAATAAAGGATGCAAACCCTAGCCACCCAAACCCGTTCCTTTCTTTACTCTGTCACTAGCCCCTCTCAAAACAGAAAAATCAAAAAAAATTTCTTGACTTATCCCTAAATCTACTCAAGTTTTGAAGAAATTTACGAAGATTGAACATCATCAACAAGAGGTGCAAAAGAAGAGTTCCAAATTGATTCAAAGAAGGGAGCTCTAAGCATAGAAGGTATGAATCTAGACTAGAAAAGGGGTAGATGTGGGAAAACTAAGAAATCCCATTCCAAATAAGATTGAGTTGTTATCTTAGGGATTGGGATTTGAGTATTAGAAGCACATTAGGAATTGGGTTTTCTTTTTGTCTATAAAAAAGGGGGGCCTTCGGCTTCAAGAGAATAAAGTCTTGATTTTTCCTTTTTTTCAAGTGTGCATTGTTCATAATTTTTTTTTTCTCTTTCTGCGTTTTCTATTGTTCATACTTTGTTCTTTCTTCCTCTCTTTTGTGAATTGCTTGATTGCCCTTTTAATTGTATCTTTCTTGGTTTATCTGCAATTGATCTTGAATTTTTCCGCAAACATGATTTCACTTGTTTCTCCCCATTAGTTTGGTTTCCTGCGATCCAAAATAATTTTCTGCAGATTTTTAGTTTGTTTTATGATCTATTATTATCTACCTGAAGAGATGCATTTGATAAAAGAAAAAAAAAAAAAAA